GGGGTTTAAGTGTTAACTAGAAGGGGTATTGCTTTCTGTAACCTCTTCTCCTTGAGGCTGAAAATGCATTTGGGTGCTCGAGATGGAGGGAAAACAGAAGAAGCTTGTTCTCCGGGATAAAACAAGGATACCGTAAATTAAGCATAGAGAATGCGCCCACACCCCGCCTCCCAAAGAATGCACAGTTTAAGACATCTGCATTACTCAGAGCTCATAAAACAGACATCATTTGGAGAAAGCATGAGTAAGGATGGTCGTTTGACAGGCGCAGCGTTTGGTTTTTAAACAAAGGAGCCTGGCGATTGTGATAATCCATCTTTTAGATGAGAAAAAAGAATGATTATCGTCTTTGTGAAACTCTAAAAGTACTTTCCCAATCTTATGTATAATTACAAAGTGCTTTTAAACCTAAGACGTGGGTGAAAACCATTTTATAATGTCTTACTCCTCTGTTTTTTCTCATAATATTGGTATATCAGTGAAAAAACAATAGGTAATTGTCCTCGTTCACATTAGGTACAGTAGCTGAAAGTGAATGTTTTTCTTGAAGCACATCTCCTCACCACACCTCTTAGATCATGCAGAACATTCCAGCGCGGCAGATTTATGCATTCCTCCATAGAGAGCGAAACCTGAAAAGATCATATTCCGAGCAAAGATTTCATGCTGTGAAAATACAACGAGAATTAAATGGTGGATCGTTTTGAAGTGACCTAAATATGTGCTTCTTCATAACTGTGAAATTCATATCTAATGCCTGGCTGAGAGCTGATTTTTTTATTAGGACGTGAAATTAATCATAGTTTTAATTCTGAGTCGTACTGTAGATTTATTTATATACAGGGCTTTACATTGACTTTTTTGATCACCAGCCACAGTGGCTAGTAGTTTTTCAATGTTACTAGCCACTCTGCATTTTCACTAGCCACAAATTTGTTGTTGGGAAAATATTTTTATATGCATGACTTTGACATGATAAAATTACTTGATTTAGATTTTGTGTTATGTCCACGTGTCTTCTCATTCATTTCACATCTTGTGTGTTGTGTATGAGCAAATGGGTCATGGTTTCATAGTGTTATACTGCGATTAGTTTTCATTTCACATGACTTTTCAGAACTCAAAATCAAGGATTTACCTAATCTCTGACCACTCCAAACAATAATCATTTCTTTGCCACAAATTTTAAATGTGTCAAACAAGCTAAATATAGCTGTATACTATTTTTTTTATTTAACAAAACATTTATTTTAAAAAAGCCAAAGAAAAACAACTGACTTTTAAAAATAATTATTGTCATTTACAAAGGTCTCTCAGATCACCAGTTAACTACACATAAATGGAGAGTTAATCTCATATTAAAGCAATGTTGTAGTAAAAAATAATAATTAAACCACATAAACAAAAATAACCGTAAGCAAAAGAAAGCAGGTGAAAAACATGCTATCACTGTGTGATAATGGAAGCATGATCACACGGTTAAGGCCAATTAATAGTCTGTTCAAAGCGAAAGCTAATAGACGTATTTGGAGCTCTTGAAAGCAGCAAGACTGTGTGTGCATTAGCATTACTTTTTTGCCTGACTATTCGAAAGAGATACGATCACAGTTGCGTTCCAGGCACGCGTGCTTCAAGGAAGGAAACAGGAGCGCGCACGCGCTTTAAACAGTCACGCGCACCACATCAGCTGTTAGCGCGAGTGATTATCCTCTCCTTTGGTATTCATCTGCTTTCTTCTGCTCGCACGAATGCAATTTTTTTGTTAGTCATGCTGTTTCTCCATTCTAAGATCACATTTGCATGCATATTAGGTCATTCTTGTAGTCGAACCGTGCTTTTAGGAAAACCACAATTTAAACATTATTTTCAACCAGCCAAAGTGGCTAGTGGAGGTGTCTGTCTAACCTGCCAAAGCTGAAATCTACCCGCACTTGGCGAGTTGGCGGGTGTTAATGTAAAGCCCTTTTTATATACTATAGATTTATTAATTGTTGTTGTTTGTTGGATGTACAGTTGAAGTAAAAATTATTGCTATAATTTTTTTTTTTCTGAAGAATGTCTTATTTTGCGACACAGTGGTGCAGTAGGAAGTGTTGTCGCCTCACAGCAAGAAGGTCGCTGGGTCGAGCCTCGGCTCAGTTGGCGTTTCTGTGTGGAGTTTGCATGTTCTCCCTGCGTTCGCGTGGGTTTCCTCCGGGTGCTCTGGTTCCCCCCACAGTCCAAAGACCTGTGGTACAGGTGAATTGGGTAGGCTAAATTGTCTGCAGTGTATGAGTGTGTGTGTGAATGTGTATGTGGATGTTTCCCAGAGATGGGTTGCGGCTGGAAGGGCATCCACTCGTAAAAACGTGCTGGAAAAGTTGGCGGTTCATTCCGCTGTGGCGACCCTGGATTTATAAATGGACTAAGCCGACAAGAAAATGAATGAATGAGTCTTAATTGTATTATTTTGGCTAGAATAAAAGCAGTTTATTTAAAAAAAACAAAAACATTTTAGGGTCAATATTTTTAGCCCCCTTAAATAAATTTTTTTTTTCTTCAACTGTCTACAGCAGTGGTCCCCAACCTTTTTTTATCACCGTGGACCGGTCAACGCTTGACAATCATACTGCGACCCTGTGAAATTAAAAAGCACAGCAATGTTTATCTGAGATCAGTCAGTTCTTGTCACGTGACTTGCGGTGCGTTTGTGGCATTCTGAAGACGTTTATAAATGGGTGCACATGGAAGACGCAAGCGCCATTAAATACAAATCAGAAAAGTATAGTAAAAACTAAAGTATTGGGAAAATGACAACATATGTGAAATAATGGGAGCACAGGACATCAATAAAAATAATAATAATAATAATAATAATAATAATAATATTTTTCAATTATTTAGCACTTTTCTGGAGACTCAAAGCGCTTTACACATTGGGGTGAATCTCCTCATCCACCATCAGTGTGCAGCATCCACCTGTATGACGCCAGACTGCACACTTGCTGATGAAGCCAATTATGATATGGGGATGGCTAGGATTTTTGACAACCTCGGTTTAACATCCGAAATATAGAGACCCCTTTATTATACTGGGGTATAATACCCACACAGACCCCTTCCAGCAGCAACCTAGCTTTCCCATGTGGTCTCCCATCCAGGTACTGACCAGGCACAGCCCTGCTTAGCTTCAGTTGGCGACCATGTGACAGTTGCAGGATGTTAGCTGCCGGCTACAATATTACTGTTGCAGTAGCAGTGTTACCATTTTTGTTTTTAGCTATGTATATAACTTCTTGACACAGGGTTGTCAGAGAATTTAGTGTTTAGTAGAGTAGGTATTTATTGCGAAATAGGTGTAATATGCAGATGTTTTTTTTTTTTTTTTTTTTTTTTGCTTCACTATAGGAAATCCTGATCTACACTCCAATCCAGATGCTGGCAGAAAAGCTCCAAAAAGCTGGTTGCCAACCGCCATAAAAGTCACAAGAAGAAGAAAACGTGAGCACATCATGCCGCTTGTGCGCATCGCTCCCAATTAGCCTATGCCTCCATTGGAAATAACGAACATGCACGCAGAATAGACACGATATATGAATGGTCGCCATCATTTGCGATCTCCAGCAGTTGATTTTCTTGCACAGATATGCTGGATTCACCTGATTTGTTGACTGAGTTGCGGATCCATTTCTAGGCAGTTTGTGGGTCCTTCACTGGGCTTTTGCCCTTCACAAAGAAACTTTCCAAAGGCGCCTGTTTCTTATTCATTTTGAAAACTTGTGGGTTAAATTTTGGCAACTGAGATGTAACCAAAAGAATATGTTCATTTTTCAAAATAAAAGATTTCACAAAATAATAATGTGATAATAATAATTCAGGAGGGCTATCAACTCTGACTTGAACTGTATATGCAAATTAGATTTTATAAATTAGTATTAACATTTTGTTTTATTATTTTAGTTTTCATTTAAACTAAATTAATATGAGAAATATTTTCTTGGCAGCAAAGAGATTTCTTTTTACATTTGTTGACATTTGTTTCAATTTATTTTACTTTATCAGTTAATCTTTCATTTTATTTATTTTTTATCATCATCAAGGTTCAAAGGTCAAAAGTTTGTTCTTGATAAGATTTTGTATTGTTTTATGCTTAGCAAGGCTGCAGTTTGGTTCAAAAACCAGTAAAAATATTGCAAAAACAATCTAACCTCATTACGATTTAAAATAAGTATTTTCAATTTCAGGTGACACCGTGACTCCGTGGTTAGCACTGTCGCCTCACAGCAGGAATGTCCCTGGTTTGAGTCCCGGCTGAGCCAGTTGGCATTTCTATGTGGAGTTTGCATGTTCTCCTCATGTTGGCGTGGGTGTCCTCCAGGTTCTCCGGTTTACCCCACAGTCCACATTATAGGTGAATTGGATGAACTAAATTGACCATAGTGAATGAGTGAGTGTGTGCATGCTGGAGTGTATGGGGTGATTCCCAGTACTAGGTTGCAGCAGGAAGGACAGCCGCTGCATATAACATATGCTGCATAAGTTGGTGGTTCATTCTGCTGTGGCGACCCCTAATTAATAAAGGCGCTAAGCCGAAAAAGAAACGAAATGAAAGAATTATTGTAATTTATTCCTGTGATGCAAAGCTGATGTTGCTTCAGACCTACAGAAACATTTCTTATTATTATCAAAACTTCTTAATATACTTTTGAAAATTTTCTATTCTTTATCATTTTTAAATTAATTGATGAAAAGTTCAAAAGAACAAGATTTACTTTTCATAAAAACCTCTTGTAACAATTTATTTTACTGTCTTTTGTGTCAAGTTTAATGTCTGTTTGCTGGATAAAAGTATCAATCTCTTTTAAACAAATAACCAGATCGACCCCCAGCCTTTGAAGTGTAACAAGAAAACAAAGATTTGATTGAATCCAGCACTGATACTTGTGTGCGTTTTTTACACCTCTGCTTTAATATTTGGAGGAGTGTGAAAACAGGAGTGCTGTGTAGGTGAGGTCACGCACCGGGTTCCTCTGGACCACTTTAGGGTTGTTGACCACCGTGATGAGGTTGACGATGGTGAAGGCTGAGTTGAGCACATACGAGCAGAACAGGTTCTTGTGGAGTGTGATTCTCTGACAGCTCAGACTCCTGAATGAGAAACAAACAAACATCGCTCGCTGATCATTCATGACAGAGGCACTTGTGTGTGACTTTCTGCGCAGTAATTCAGTTTGACAGCTCATCTCAGTTTGGATACGTAAAACAATCAGCTTCAAAATGGATTGAGTTACTCCTAACTGAACTTTTCAGCACTGAGATTTGAGTTCACTCTTAAATTAAACGCTTCTTTATGATGGAAGATCCTTTAAATGGGACCTATTAAACAAATAATTACTTTTATAAGGAGCTTTAACACATTTGTGTAGCAACTGTGTGAATATAGCCAGCCTCTAATAGTGGAACATGTATTAATTCTATTTTTTATAACCACACTTCATGAATACAGTGTGCAGAAACACTTTGATCGATATTCTCTCCTTCTACAAGTCATCAGAAGGGGAACGCCTCACCTATTAGTGACCGTCTCTCCATCATTAGCATAAACAGCCCTGAGTGAGAAGCAGCCATCTGCCATTTGAGTTTTAATGCCGTACTTGTCAAACATGATGCTAGGAGGCATTTTAATGGGTTTTAGGATGCAGAAATGACTGTCATAGTCTCTTTAGACCAGGGTTTTTCAAAGTCTAAGACAGTGGGCCTCCCTTTTGACACAACTTATCTATTGGCGCCCCCCTCCTCCCAAACACACGCGCACACACACACACACACACACACACACACAAATATATATATATATATATATATATATATATATATATATATATATATATATATATATATATATATATATATATATATAAACATACACACAGTATATATAAAGACACAGACAGATGTCAGATTATTAACTCACTTTTATCATCATTTGCATGAAAGTGCAATTATTTACAGAGTAATAACAAGTATTTTAATATAACGTTTTTAAAACTAGGATGATGGTTCAATATGAGTAGAACAGATCCAAGAACTGTCCATCCCAGTCAAAACAGTCGAAGTTTAGCGGGTCTCATGCTGTCATTAGCCAAAATATCTTGACAAACCACACATAAAGGTCGTGGTTCATCAGCTGGTCCTGTCCACGTAAATCCTAAACTCAAATACTGATCATCATATCGTCGTCTTTTGGGTTTAAGCCCTGAACTTGAAGGCTTTGAATCGGGGGGTCTCAGAAACCGATCCATTGTATTAGCAGGCATATACCTGTATTGGCGGGCTTGCCAAACAGAAGCGAATTTACAGCTATGGCCTTCTGGGTAAAAAAGGTTTTCTTATTTTTGACGTATGATTTTTTTTAGCTTTGTTTAATTAAAACGTTTAAATATAATAAAAAATGCATATAATAATTAAACTTAATAATTATATTTTTATTATATAATATTTTTTCCCGCGCCTCCCCTGACATGCTCTGGCGCCCCCCAGGGGAGGCGCGCCTCACACTTTGAAAACCCCTGCTTTAGACAATCTAATTAGAATTTAAAAGGACAGTCATCAAATTGGCACAATTTGGATTAAAGCCTAATGCTGTGTTCACATCAGATGCGGAACGCGTAAATCGCCGAGTGAAAATTTAAGTTTACTCGCTTCATTTGCAAGCCAGATCCACTTCATTCCCGCGTCAAAACGCTTCACAAAAGACGTGGATTCGCGTCATAGGCAGGGCTTCTGTCTGTCCAGTGACTCTAGCTTCGTTGTTAAATGGTTAACATGGATTTTGTTGAGAAAATAACTGTTTCTGTGCTTTATAAAGACTAAAAACAGTGTTGATTCATTTAGAGCTGCGTCTGAGTCCACCAGATCCTTTCAGAAGTGCACCCAGCTCTGTAAGCTCCTAACCTCAAAAGCTCTAGAAACTTAACCTTGATGATTGAAGCATACAGCGGTGCTTCTGACTGAGCTGAGCCCAGTTTGATCAACAGCTGACGGTGTGTGCAGGAGGATTTTCTCCCGGGACACCAACAACAGGCGCTACGTCATAATCACACCCCCACAAGAGCAAGCTCCTGATTGGTTAGTTAACACAGAAGTCTGCTTAAGTTCAGATTTTCCAAATCGAGCGGTTTGTGCTCAATTCATGTCGCGTCATTCGCACGTATCGCGCCACAGGATGTCTATTCACTCGTTTGCATTGACTTAACATGTAAATCACTCGTGCTTGACGCTTCTTCCGCACCTGATGTGAACAGCATAAGGGGTCAGTCATACCATTGAGAAGTGCATCTTTTTAATGGTTTCCTAATGGCCGCGAGCGTTTTGCGCTGCTTATTCGCCCTGCTCCTTTCTGACTGAAAAAAGTGCACTACTAGATTCTCCAATCATTCTCCAATCAAATGAAAGCAAAGGCGGGGTTTCTGTTGAGGTGACTACACTGTTTGTGTTGACAAAACGACTACAGAAACTTCTGAAGATAGAGGAGAAACTAATGGTCACTGTTTTGAGTTATCTGGAGCTGTATGACTTTACATATCTTGAATATCACAATATTTTTAAATATTACAATTATAACAATATCAGCAGCTACACTTGCGCACAATGTGCAGCTGATTCAGTGATTGAATAGCAACATTAAAACATGCGCACTGGACTTTTTCTTGTCAACAAAAAAGGCGGCGGACCTCAATTTTTCAGAACAAAAATAGTGTGTTTGGTGTTTGGTTTGGTGTGATTGGCAAAAATATTTGTAGGGTATTTTAAGCTGAAACTTTAAACAGTCTAGGTACATCAGAGACTTATTTTATGTCTTGTAAAAAGAGGCTTAATAGGACCCCTTTAAATGTTACATTAAAACATGTAAAACTGTTCTTTTGACCATAAAGTGTGCTTCATACTTAGAAACTAATGTTTTTTTTAGAACTTCTAAACGAAAAGATCTGATAGACTATAATCTCACACACAATAGTGCTGATCAGTTAATTGGTAGTTTCACCAGTTTGAATTTTGTTGAACTAGCAGAAAATTGCTTGCAGACTGAAGCCCGAAAATGGCCTAATATTTTTGTCTGTTAACCGTCAATGACTATATTTACATGCACCAACTTTTATCAATCCAAAGGATTTGAATCCAATCACAGATCTATTTACATGTCAAATCACTTTTATTGTCACATCATAAGCATAAGCTCTAAACAGTGTAATCTGATTCAAATATCCATCTGTATGCATTTTACATACAGTCTAATTAAAAAATTAGTTTAAGAAAGAATACGTTCATCATACAGTTAATAAAAGGTTTCGGTTTTTGTAATTTGAAGCAGGCAAGAGTGTCTGAAAATAGAAATAAGCAATTAGTCCATTGCACACTCTGATATTTTAAAGCACATTCATAAGAAAACCTTTTAATTAATTATTTAATTTAGATTATTCATAGGGCTAATTTGAACATTTATTTAGGTTACAGTCCATTTCTAAAATAAAGTGCGTTATAAAGCAGCCTGATGAATATATACAAGCAGTGACTTTATTATGCATTTATCAAATTATGCAAAGGATAATGCATGTCAACAATGCACTGCAGAGAATTCTGAATATGATTAAGAAAATATCCGATTCAAGTAAAGGACACTGTCATTGTTTTGCTGTTGGATCGGATTAGAAAAGAAATAGACCACCTCTTCCAATCTGATCGAATTTTTATCTGTCAGATTAAGCAATTTGTAGGTACAGTAGGTGAGAGTTCAATGTGACCATTACCGCAGCACGATCTACTGCCGCGGTTTTAAAAATAAAGAATGTGTTTTTTTTAGTTATGACCTCAGTTTGCGACCATGCCGCCAGGTGGCACAAAGGGACAGGATACGAACAGACAGAAATAGACTATATACATTATAGAATATATTAGCTGTAAATACTCTGCTACTTGTAAATAAGGATAAACTATGAAACAAAGCATTATAAGTCCTTCAGTAATAAGACAACTAGGCTACATTATTTAAAGGAATAAAGAATAAAAAATAACCTTCGGGGTGAAGTGCTTAAGTCCACTATATTCAGCACCGAAACACTACTTGCTGTGAGATTGTGTTGGTTTGTTTAATAAAATAATAATAATCTAGCCTAAATAAAATTAAAGCGAAATATTCACCTTTTTAGAGAAGCCTATATTAATATATGTCTGGTCACAGTTTGACACAGAGGAGTTGACATGTCTGTATAAGCAGTTTGCATTAGATAGAAATATATGCTCAATATAGTCATATATACATTTATTTACATACTCTACAGTTTGCATCACTAATGTGTCAATGTGAGCAGTCAAGTCTTGATGAAATCAAAATGTACTCTTCTCAAAATCTTTTATCAAATACCATAACCTTAGGGCGGGGCTATCAGTCCTTTAGGGTGGGGTTATCAGTCCTTTAGGGCGGGGCTATCAGTCATTAGGGTGGGGCTATCAGTCCTTTAGGGTGGGGCTATCAGTCCTTTAGGCTTTCCTGTTTCGTTGCTGCTCTGCCTTCATCAGTTCATCAATCTTTTTTAATTTAGGCCCCGTTTACACTAGTGCGTTTTAGTTTGAAAACGCATAAGTTTTGCTACGGTTACGCCATCCGTCCACACTACGCCGGAGTTCTCGAGCGCCGAAAACGGAGCTTTTTGAAAATGCTGGAGAGGCCGTTTTCATTCTAAAACGCTGCTGCTCCGTCTCAGTGTGGATGGGGAAAGACGGAGACATCTGAAAACGGAGGCGGGGCTGCAAACGTTCGCCTATCTGATTGGGGCTTTTCCTCAATATTAAGTAGCCCACACACAGTTCAGTCTCGCATCCTCTTCTTGTAAGTTAAGACTTCGCAAGTTTGATCAAGGCTGCAGTCTCCCCCTTCTCAGTTTGATATGGAAAACATACCGAGGACACGGGTGAATCTTCAAAGGGAACAGTGTACTTTATAACTTCATTCACATCACCTTGCTACGTTGTTTCACTTTCTCAACAATAAAATGTAAACATGATTTAAGGAACTGCCTATTTTCATTTTAATATTAGCAACTTAACAGACAGCAGAACTGTTGAGGCGCCGTGCTGCATATATGAGCGTC